CCCGTGTGGGCCGCCGCGGTGCCTCGTCGTGCCTCGTCGCACGTGGTCACCCGTGGAGCGTTCGGCTGCAGCGGGGCCTTGGGACGCGTGGGTGGCAGCGGGGCCTCGGCTCACTGTGTCACCCATGCGCTTCGGCGGTGCCTTGCCACGCGCGGCCGTGCTTTGCGTGAGCCGCCGTGCCTTGGCGCCTGAGCGTCGTCCCTCTTCTCGCTTCTCTGGTGGCGGGCACGGCCCTTGCCACGCTGCCAGAACGGCACACGGGACAAAGCGAGGCGTGGATGACAGTAGCAAGTCTCCAAATTAAAGGTTTCATAGGAATCCAGGGATAAAACGTCACCACCTCTCACACACACACAGCGACTCAGCTGTGGATTTACGCGCAAGCGTCTCTGTGTGCGTTGCAGTGTGCAAGTGGATGTGCTGAGGCACGGGAGGTATGTTTAGAGTAAACTCTTGGAGGCAAGATCTTTATCTTCTGAATGTTTTGTAAAGAGACTAGCCTATTTCAGAGGCTAAACGAAAAATAAATATTGTGGTACTGGAGAGGCCGTGCATGTGTTTGATTTATATCTTGCAAAGTCAGTATAGCGTGAATGGACTAGAAGGGGGAAAAGGACCACCAGGAAATAATACAAAAGTCAAGCTAAGTGAGAGTCGGATTTTCAGATTTATCAAATAGTGACTTAAAAAGAAATGGTGGCCTCCATGGTTTATAGTGAGAGAGACCTGCCTTGCTGCGTCTTAGGCTGCTCAATTTTTTTGGCAGGTGCTGAAGTGTGTTTTACTCTGTTTGTAGATCTGAGGTAAGGAAACAAATGGGCCCCTCAGGTATCGGTTAAATTCAGTACCTCTGGTGGGGAGAAGACCTGGGATCAAATTTGTAGGAAATGTTATGTTTAATATAGTGGTGTTAAAGGCTTTTAAACTACTCTTAATTTAGCATTTGACCTGAGAGACGTTTCCAGGATGGAGACAGCAGTTCTGATGCATTCATATGGTTTGAGAGGGGAGTGAAGAGCTCTGGCTTTTCTCTTTCAGCCCTGTATGTGAAAAGTGTTGATTAACATGAAATGTAGGTGCAGTATTAGGTATACGTGGTTTTAGATACATGGAAATGGAGGCCTATGCAAAAATAGGTTCTGATGAACTCGTCGCACGCTGAGGATTGCTGACTGATGAGCAGAAACTCACACATGGAGAAGCACAGAGCAGTGATGGTTTCAGAGCATTTGAAGTGCTCCTTCCTTGCATGGGTTTTTTGTTTATAAAAGCAGTAGCTTTTTCTCTTTCCTTTGCATAAGTTTGTGTAACGTTTTCACCTTCTGATTTGATTTGCTTGTGGCAAAATAGTATTAGATTTTCTTCTTTTTTGAAGAAAAGTAAGAACAAGGAGGTGTTTGAACACTGCAGTGAAGATCATGAAAAGCCTGAACTGACCAGAACTTTTGTCAAAATAAGACAGGGACATGTTTATTACTACAGCAGCGTGATACCTTTGTAGGCAATATTTTTTGTAACTTGTAATGACTTCTTCAAATACATATTTTCTTTCTCATCTGCAGTCATGATAACTGCAGATGAGTTATCATGCAGTCATGATAACTGCAGATGATGTTATGCACTTGTATTACTATAACCAATTAAAGGCCCATCTACTTTTTAATCCATTGAGTTTTTATGAAGATTTTCATTTAAAAAGTGGATTTTTATGTTTGTAGACATTGGCACTACCAGCAAATGCAAATGGCTCTCAACATTTATTTTTCAAAAGTGTTTACTCATCTGCTAGGCTATTACAGCTATCTTCGAGGATGCAGACTCACCTACATTAGAGAACTCCTAGATCACTGTGGTTGTATTTGCTAATTCGGTATAGTCCAGTTAAATTGGTGCAACTACTTTGTCCATGAAAGGCCTGTGCTAATATACTTAATTTTTATTTCATTTCTCATTTGTTAAATCTGGCAATACTATCATTGCAAACTTCATAGCAGAGCATAATCCTCCTGAAAGATTGGAGCAGTGCTTGTTTTCATGTAATGTACATTTTGAGTTTGATAGTCCCTCTCCACTCAGAACAGGCTTTAAGCTTAGGGTCATTGTTGCTGCATTCCTAATCACATATTTAGTTTTATTACAGTAGTGTCCAAAGTGGCCATTATAGTTAATTACACTTTTTCTGTCTTAAAAGATGATTGAATCTATCCACCAAAGTGCCTGCGGGCTGGAATTATGTGTAGTAATTTTCTGTGTAGAAGTAACAAATGCTTGGAAATCCCATGTACGACAACCCTTGAATTATATGCAGAAGCAGTCTGCTCCTCTGGATTTGGAACAACTGTTCCAAATCTAGCAATTGTTCCAAATCTAGCAATAATGATTTCCTTCTAGAAATTGTTCTTCAAACGCATTTTGGTGGGGAAGTGCAGAAACCTTGTCATTATTCAGGAAGCAGCCTATGTGTTAAAATTTGTAACTGTCAAGTAGCATGCAGGGAGAGTTCCCTTGTGATGATCTCTTACCTCCCTGACTGAAACTTCATGATGGAAAATAACACACGGCATTGCATCGACCTGCTGGAGGGAATACACAAGGTTTATGCAAAGAAAGTATCTTCCTCGTACTAGACTATGACTGGTGCCTTGGTATTCTGTGGCATTTCTGAAGTGGGAGGTTTGACCAACCTGCTGGATTTCCAGTTTGTCCAATACATTCATGTCATTCATTGGAACTTGTTTAGCATAAACAGAAATAGTGTTGGTTGGTAGGATATCACTCATCTACCCCTTTCGTATAGTTTGTGAGTTAGTATTTCAAAAATACTAATGCTAATTTAAAATTCATCAGCATTTTAAAAAAACAATTCAGCCACTGTAAACGTACACAGTCTAGGCTGTGCACTCAGCAACTTTTGCATCCTTTAGAAAGGAGAAGCTCCTTTTTAAGCAGAAGCAAATGCTAAGCAGCACACATCCCAGCTGGTGCTCTTTAACCCAAGTGTTTAGCTAGAGATGGGCTTGCATTGTTGCGAGTAGGCTATTTGCATTAGGCTCATAGTGCTTCTATTCATTGTATGGAGAAGGATCAAGACAGGTGGAAAAAGGAGGAGGAGCGGGGAAAGTTGAATGACATAGATACCCAGAAGCCAAACTTTTTTTTGTTGTTTTGCGTTTTATTTGATGAAATAGACTGTTGTATCTTTTGTGCTCCTGTGAATACATGCCCATCTGCTCTAGCATGCTTGTAGTTACTCCTGGTGTCTGTTCAGCTGTTGGCATGTTCAGCACAACTGAAATTCTCCATCAGCTGCCCCATCCTCCTCCAAAGACAAATAAAGGTCAAGCTAAATTTCAACAGCAGCTAGGCATACAACTGTCAATCAGATCTTGAACTTGATGAAGCTTTCATGCTCTTTGCTGTAAAAGCAAGTTTAATTTTAGTGCTTTTTAAATTTTATTGATACTTGGGAATTGTGGTGTACCTTCAAATTCTGCCCACAGCTGTTTTGATTTAGCTTAGCTTTAAAAAGTAACTGGCTAAGGAGTCTCTTGGAGCAGTTCTTCCTTAAAGTGATTGCTGCAGTTGGAGCATGGCTCAAAAAGATAAGTTCCTAGCAAAATGAGAAGGAAAAAGCTATAAATGAGTTGAAAGCTTTTGTTGAAGTTATTTAAGCATATTTATAGAAATACTTGAACTCTTGTGGTTATTGCTGTGAAACATTTATAAAGGAAACTTACAGTGATGTTCAAACTCAACTATTTAGCACTCTGGTTAAAACTCAGATATTTTTTGAGGTATATCTAATGTATTCCTGAACAGTACTAGAAGATAAAGACAGCTTTCAGTAGACAATATGTGAGCCTTGGGTTGTGTGCCATTCTGGAGGCCTCTGAGAAAATTGTAAGTGCAGTAAACAGTGAGTCCTTGTTAAAACAGCTATAATACAAGATGGTTTTATAATTGACAGCCATGTGGATGAGTAACTGTTGGATTCATTTGATTCAGTTATATATATATTATGCCTGCTTTATTTTATGAGCTTAGCTAATGGGAAAAGCTAGGGAATACAATCCGGTATCTTGCAAGTGTTGGGCTGGCCCCTATTTCATCTTCCTGGATTCAATAAAATATCTTCAGCCCGGGAACTGCTACGTTGTGTGTTGGGATTCCTTTTATTTAGTTGTATTGAAAATACTGATGCAGCTAAGAAAAACAGGGAGCTTTTAGTTATTTTAAAAATCAGTAGATTGTATTACGCTTGGTGATAGAAATGAATAGCAAATGAGAATCAACCGAGGGCTTGATTTTTATGCCATTGGAATCTGTCGGAGTTCTGTTGTTGATTTCCATGGGAAGCAGGGTAATCCATCAGCTGGGATCCGTGATCACTTCTGCTGAAAATTGAAAGGTGTCTTTGTTTTCAGACTGGGAATCTGCAATTAGAGTTGGTGTGCTGGATTGCGGGGAAGAGGAGAACTATGAGACATGCAAAGAATATGGTATTCACTATTACCCAACTTTTAGGGTAAGTGGCATAATATATTGCCTTAGCTGAATAATGCATGCTTTGTAGGAACTGAAACCGTAACAGACATGCTTGCGCAGAGTGTTACGTGCAACTGGTTGTTCTTTAGCTGGACTTTTACTTTGCTTTTGCTGAGAAAACTGCAGTGTTGAAAAAAGATTAATTTGGGGTCTTATTGCTGAATGCATTAGCTGATGCAGTTATTTATAGCAGTAATTCAGTCCTCAGTTCTGAATCTGAAAAATTCTTATTGAAAGAAGATAATACCATTCTAGAAAGTACTGTGTCATTACATTTATATAACGCCTAGTTTTAATATATTTGTTAGATAATAAAAATCTGTATAAATATTTTTCAAATTCAAATGTTCATGACTATTAATAGTGGGTTTAGTTTTGGTATGTGAAAGTAAAGGTAATACATTGAAATTGTGTCATGAAATCAGCTGATTTCCTGACCAGTCAAAATTTTACCCCTGATTGATCCTTCACTATTTTTCTAATTAATTTCATAATTTGCTTAAACTGGCTTTTAAAAGGGATCTTGTGTTTGCCAAAAGTGTCTACCATTGTTCATTTTTAGGTGTAAGTGCAATTTTTAACTCCTCTGTCTTTGTCGATCTGTATAATCACATTATTAACCGTAGGTATGAGCAGAATGTGATGGAAGGAGAGGATTGAATAAACTGTGTTTGTTATGACAGGAGAGGGAACAGGAGTTTTTTCACTGTAGAATTTGTGATGTTCTACCCTGATAGAAAGAACAATATATTTTTTTTAATCTTTAAAGTTTTGGGTGTAAATTGGAATGCACTCTTTATTAGACACTGAATCTTTTCTATTTTATTTTTTATAACAGAAGGCAGTCAAGCTCCATTATATATCCTGTTTAACCACTGGAGGGAGTTGAGAAAATGTGAATAGTGTTCTAAGTATACACACAGTTGGTAGTACTGATTTAGTAATCAGTTAATTGGTGTTTGGGTTACTGTTTGCAGTGATGGATCGATATACAGTATTGAATTAGCATTGTGGTATTTTTCCTCTAAAGGTTGGCTTTATTGTGTATCAGAGTTTTGACTGGTACCGATGAGCTACCCTCTTATAGTTGAGAAGCAGGTCTTTGGAACTCGTAGGCTAAGAGGGAAAACTGTCTTCTGAACAGATAGATAAAAATGTTTTGTAATTACAGCTGTAAAAAGTAAAAACTCTTGAAAGCCATTTTTGTTTCTAAACTGAGCTTTTGTCTGATACAGTGAGTTATTTTCAAAGCAATAATACTTTTTTTTCTCCCACATAGTACTTCAAAGCATTTACAAAGCAGTTTACTACTGGAGAAAATTACAAAGGTAAGAATATCCTACTGTAAGAAATCCCCGAAGCAGTTATCCTATCGGCCAGGAATGTGTCACATAGTAAGCAAAATCCCATTGCCTGTCAATTAGTTTAGACAGCTAGAGATGTGATGGACACTAATTAGCTCTTTAAGATATGATATTACAAGTACTGTATGAAAATGGAATGTCAGGCAGAATTTTAGACAGGCAAAACATTTGTTCAAGAACTCAGGGCTCACATTCCTCATTTTTTTTTTTGAAACGTAGTTCTTAATTTTCACAAAGGGCTAGATAATTTTTTAAAATTCCTTTTTTCCACCACACACCTCATCAGCGTGAGATCCAGTTTGCTCAGTCCTGACTGGTGCTTTTTGATCTGTCAGCCACTTTCCAGGCATCCTGAATCTCACTGGGAGAACCCCCTATTCACATGTGACTAACTGAAAACAGGCTTATCCTGTGTCTTGACAGGATCACCGCTTAGGTGGTTTGTCTGGGGACAAAAGTAATGTTGTCTTTTTCAATGGATTAACATTTGAAAGGCCAGAGGTCAGAAGAGAGACCACCTGCACCATTAACCCTTCATGCAGAAGTAGTTACTTTCTGGCATTTGTGAGAGTTTCTGCTTTTTAATTTATATCTTTTAAAGCAAATAAAATATTCTCACGCTTCGGTTATTTCCTCATGTTGTTACATGGCTTTGTAACCTCACCTGGCTCATTTGGTAAGAATGGTACACCTCTGCAGTTTTTAATGCACGATGAATATCCTTGTTGCAGAAAGCCTACTGAAGTTGCCCACGCCAAGTATTGTGAAAATGAGCACAGATTTAGAATGAAGCGTTGTTTGAAGAGAAAGTCAGCAAGGCAGGCAGATGGTTAGATTTGGAAAAGTCTTGAGGTTTTATTAATTTTGGGGTGGGATGACAGCTTTTAAATACAATCTCATCTCCACATTAAAATGAAATCCTACAACTAAATCCTTTGTCCCTGTTCTTCAGCCAAATAGTATTCTGTTTTTTAACTCCAAATTTAAAACAAAAACCTGACACAGAAAAACATGGGAATGTATGAAAGCCTGCACATGAGTAATTTTTTTTCCCAGTTTTCTGAAGTGTTGGGGTTTTTTTTTGTAACCTGTACTCAGCAGGAGCAGATCGAGAGCTGCAAACAGTTCGTCAGATGATGATTGACTTCTTACAGAACCATTCCCAAGAGTTGAGACCACCTGCTTGCCCACCGTTGGATCCAGTTTCGTAAGTTCCTTGTTTAAAATACAGCTGGTGTATGCTTACTGTGTTAATTAAATAAAATGTAGAAGGTCCTATTAAAGATGAAGAAAGTTTTTTTCTTGTTATCAGTTCTGCTACGAGATTGTGAAAGGAAATTCCGTCAGTAACAGTGGGTGTATTGCATTCTACCTGTGCTGAGTAGCTTTTCTTTTCTTAAAAGGTCCAGTGATATTACTTCTCTCTTTGACAAGAACAGCCATCATTATACTGCCATTGTGTTTGAAAGTAACAACTCCTATGTTGGACGAGAGGTAATGTATGACTTACGAATGACATAATGAATATGAATGAATGTTATCCTAACACAGCTGAATTTTATGTTATTTAGCCAAGCAACAAAATTTTCTGATTATAGGACTGAATTAAAGGGTCATAAAGGGCAGGTCATGCATATTTGAGATATCACAAAGTCAAGGGATTATGTAGGGCAGTTGTATTTATTCACACAGAGGAACTTGCTTACAAACGAATGTGATGTTGTGTTAACTTCTCCCATTCATGTTTTAGTGGAAGATTAGTTTATCAATTTCATTGTTAGCACAATTCTTTTTTCTTTCAAGATTTGGAAGATCACAACAAAAATACTGTCAGATTGTGTTATTGTTCTGTTACTGCTAGAGAACTGTTCGTAATATTCGTTCTTCTGGGCAGCTTTTGTGATTTCAACTGTTTATAATAAATTCTCTGGTTCTCTTTGTTCAAGTATAGGTTTTAGGAAATTACATTCTAAATTAAGGTGATAGCATAAAACTATTTTCACAGCTCTGATGCACTGAGGAAGTGGAAGTCCTTGGTTTTTTGCTTCCCCCACCCCCCCAATAAAATATTTGATTTGGCATCATTTCACCACCTAATGAGCCTGCTGTTAGCTTAGACAACTGTTACTTTTCTCTTCCTGCCAAGATCTAGGATAAGTAAAGAAAATAAATTGCATAATTATCTAGGCATAATCTGTGCAGAAACATCCAATGTCTGTGAAATGTTTCTAATTAGATTTGATGCTGAGATGGCCCAGTTGCATAAGTGGAGGAGAGTGTGCTGCCAAAAGCGAGAATCACTTTGAGAAGCAGGCTGCTTCCAGACATTTGTTTTTTGGAAGCTGCTGTGTTAATACAAGTGGGCATTACTGAAGGGAAGAAATGTGATGATTATAAAGTTCTTCAGCTTTTTATCACGCTCGCTTTAATTTTATTAGAAAAAATATTTGCTAATGTTACGTAGTGTTTTAGCTTTATAGAATAGTTTAGTGAAATAGAAAATAACGCTGTTTTCAAGTTTACGGTATAAGACAATATGGACAAACCTAATAGAAGTCACAACAGCTGAAGAAAGGAAGGCCATGTGTTTATCACTGATGAAAGGAAGGGTCTCTTAAATTACAAGTTTGAAAGGGAGGGGAAATGTAGCAAAGATAATATTCACTTGAAAGGGAAAAGTATAGTGGAAACTGTGAAACTAACAACAGGAAAAAGATATAGAAGAGGCACAGAGGGGTAAAAGTAAAAGAATGACAAGTGGAAACCTAGAAGAGTCAGAAGCATGGAAGGTTTTGCAGGTAAGAATGGAACATTTGAAATAGTAGTATAGGAGCATAGGCTAACGGAAGGATGTGAGGAGTGTGGTAATTAGAATGGCAAAAGAGGATGCCTTTAGCAGTGGGATCTTGAAGGATTTAAGAAGGGAAGAAATAAGTATTTAAGCTTATTTTTAAAGGGCAAATTTTCATTACTTATAATTGAGTCATCGCATTTGTAGGTGCAGCTTTGGCTGTAGTTGGCAAAGAATTTTGATAGTTGAGTCCTGGCAATTCTCTGAGGCATCCTGATGTTACCACCCTCTTCTGCCTCCTCCACCCTTCACTGAATTTTACACCTTGCAAAGAATTTTGTGCCCAATCCCAGCTGCTCTAGTGCAAAAGCCCAGCATCAGGTTTAAACAGCTGATGAAGATTGGTTTGAGCTAAGATGCTGGACTGTGAACTGAAACTTTTGAGGTATAGGCACCTATTCCTACCTGAAAATTTGCCTTTAGACTCTTACATATATAACATGAAATATAAACCTGTTGGTGCCTGTGGACTATCCTCTGGGCTTTTTTTGAGGTTTATGAGGACATTTTATCATTCACTCTCACGTTTTCTTCAGATGTTAGACTTCAAAGGGAAAAGATCAGGATAGACCAAGAAAAAAACATGGAAGATAGGAGTAAATAATTTCCAGAGAAGAGTAAATCTTCTTTAACTGAAACTGTGAGTGTCCACAGAATACTCGTAGATCTACTTCCTTGGTGAGCAGCTTAATGATACCCTTAAAGGATGATGCACTTCACCTATTTATGTGTCTTGTCCTACATGATTGGATAGTCCTTGAACAATGTATAATTCATGTCATCTTTTCATTATCCAGGTTATCTTAGACTTGATCCAGTATGAAAACATCGTTGTAAAGAGAGCGTTGAATTTTGATAAGCCTTTTCTTGAGAAACTTGGTATTACCTCAGTCCCTTCATGCTATCTGATGCATCCAAATGGGTCCCATGGATTAATTAACATGTAAGTAGTTGTCTGTCTGAGGAATATGGGGAGGTTCATTTAAGCTATAAAAACAGTTTCCATAGCTTCCTTTCATACAAAGTAAGTTATTCTATCACCTTCTTTTGCATATACATATAATGACATTGTGTCCTGGCGTGTAATCAGTACATTGTACTGACTGAAGTTGTGTGTTTCATTTCTTTGTGTTTGAAAATTGCCTGTCTTAAGCGCTCTCTAGCAATTATTAAATCATGTAGTGGTCTTGTTTACTCTTTGTGAGTGCTTGTAATAAACAGACATGGGTTATGCCGGTGGAAGTTAGATTTCATCATATAGCAGGGAAGATGAACCAAAATGGTGTGGTGGCTAATTATAACCCTTGTGGTGTTTGAGTACAAATCAACCTCATACTGCTGACAAAACTCACTTGTTAAGTAGATGATTTGAAGTAGTGTTTCTAACTGGAAATAAAAGCTCTAAGCCAGTGTTTGTTATATGGGGTTTGATATGCTGAGAGCAATGAGCCGGTTGTTCTTGATGAACCATTTAATATTGTTACCTCTATTTTTTTAAGAAGAGACCTAATATTACTTTTGCTTACCACTTGCCTATTTATAGCTTTAGCTTATTACTGTGATACTTCTGAAAGGAAAACACTTTGGAATAAAAGTGGAAAAAAAATTAATGAAGCATCACAGTTCTTAAAAAAAACTTGCTTCTAAGTCACAATATTTGTTCCATGTGAATGTTGCCTGTGTAAGGCAAACTGACATTTTGAGGAACATGATACGTCCTTATTTTGAATGGAATTTCAAACCACTAATCCAAATGATTGTTATTGCTATTCCTAAATTGAACGTTATTTCATTTGACTTTGTATCAAAACATAACATGTTGCACTACCACTGTAAAATGTAAAACAAAGTGAATATCTTATTTTAGAAATATGCTAATTTGCTTTGGATATTCACTTAGTCTGAGAGTAAAAGTAATCTTTACTTTGTCCATTTATATGCAGTTTGAAGCCTCTACGGTCTTTCTTTTCTTCATATTTAAAGTCACTGCCAGGTGTAAGAAAAAAACTTCTTTTGCCACTTCAGCTACCTGCTCAAGAAAAAAGAGAGGAGAGTACAGAAATCAAGGTGTGGAAAGAGTTTGATAAGTAAGTGATACCCTTGATTTTCAGATCAATGCTTGGTTATAAAAATTTGCTTGCAGTCTTTTCTTGCCACGTGAGAAGCTGTGCTGTAATTTATTATGAAGTCCTAGTGCCGTTCAAAATTTTACTTCATTCTATCCCAGGCGATGCACCTTGAGTTGAATAGGTTGGTCACTACTGAACGATCTGCATTCTTCTGCCAAGTAAAATTAAAGGCGTTTGTGCTTAATACTGGAGAAATTATGGCATCAAAAGCATTGCTTTCAGCTGTTGCTTCAACTTCATCCATTTCTCAGTATATCCAGGTAACACTTGTGAATTAGTTCAATTCCAGCATCAAGGTTACAACGTCTTTTCAATTGTAAGCAGTGTTTCAAACAATTCAGAGGTGAAATTATTGAGGGCTGCTGGTATTTGGTTTTTAGCAGCAAGCACCTGCACTGCTATGGAGGGAATGTTTTTCTCCAGAAGTATCGCTAAATACTTAATTGACTTAAAAATACCAAGGACTCATCACCCATTACCTGAAGTGTATAGATCACTGATTTGAATTGTTGGAAAACTTCAGCAAGTAATCTGTGTCCCTGAAAAAATAAATAGTAAAATAACAAGCTGTAACATTTCTGTAGAAAACAAGAACTCTCTGTGTGTATAATAGTGAAGCAGTACCCACTAAAAAGTGCTTGTCAAATGCAAGTATAATAGAAAATACTAAAGTCACTGTAAAAGATGTTTATCATACAAAATCCGGTAAAGTTCTTTCCCTCTTTGTCTGTTTGAGAGAAGGATGCAAAGGCTTTGCAGAGGGATAATCCCTCAGCATCTTTAGATGGAAAAGATGTAGGACTGAATGCTTTCATTTTGTACTTATTTTCCTTTCATGGGCACTATTAGTGTCATCTTCTTTCAATGACTATTATAAAATATTTTATATGAAGCATCCTGTTATCAAAACAACTTAGTTGAATTGAGCTGCTTTCCAGCAAGACAAAATCTTGTTGATGTGAATCTCAAGTCCAAGTCTCTTCTAAATAGGATTCTTTGGGGAACCTCATGCATTCACATGGATGTCTCTTTATTTAAGAAACTTGAAGCAGAATTTTGCTGTTCTTTTAAATTTAAGTGAGTACGTTATTAATTAAGGAGACAAATTCAGAGTAAGTCTGTAGTTTGAGTTGTTAGGAATATAGATTATTCTATATTTTTAATGTTATTTCCTGCATGTTATTTAAGAGGCGGGGCCAGCCAGTTTCTTGAATGATTGTTCTTTTAATTCTATTTGGTTTTAGGAGTAATAGTGCTGTTGAACTCTTACAAGAAGTGTTTAACTCTATTAACTGTGTGAACTTCCGTTTGTTTGCTTACATTGCTCTGTATCATACTGTCTGGAGTTTGTACTCTGAAGGCATTGAAAGATAGGGTGTTTTACTTGATGTATTTGTACTTTGTAAAGTGTTTTTGTTGTTATGAAAATATTTGGTTGTGAGAAGGAACTCTTAAAATCTTTGATTTGCTTTACGTGTTTTACTTGTGCCTGTCATAAGGTACCTAATTCTGTCTTAAGAGCTGGTGTGATTAAAATTGACTGTTAAACTTGTATGCAAAGAACCTACAGTAAAACTGCTGCATTTGGGAGAGGATTTCTAGATTCAGTCCTTTCCAGCATAGACCTTTTTCAGTCTTGTTTGCACTCCTGCTCTGTGTATAATCTAGTTTTGTTCAACAAAAGTCTCCCTTTTTTCATAGCATGTCATTTTTCTATTTGTGGTCAAGCCTGAAGAGAAGCTATAATTTCTTTACACTAGCTATTTCCTTGCTGACAACATCAGGGTTATAATTTCACTGCAAGGTAAAGCTGGCTGGGAGGCAAAAAGTTTAGTCAAATACAAAAGAAATTCTTGTGTGCGGTTATGCTTCATTTGTCTAAACTCTGAACAAAATGACATAAAATTACTCTTTTAAGAGAGTACAGTGAAACTCATTGAACTTGACATTCACCGTACCGAGCACCTGAAGTAACTGCTGTGTCTTCCCATACTGGTGTAGGATATACTGCAATCACTACGGAGTGGCAAATGTTGAGGTTTTAATGACACCTACTATATATCAATTTTACCTTCATGACTGGTGAGAAAATGAGCGAAAGAAACCTGCCACTTTATAACATTATATATGTGTGTTTCAGATCTAAGCTGTACATGGCTGACCTTGAATCGGGATTGCATTACCTGCTCAGGGTAGAGCTTGCTACGCACAAGACACTTGAGGGAGCTGAGCTAAAGACTTTCAAGGATTTTGTTACCATCTCTGCCAAGGTATACGCTTCTAGTCTTTGATTATTTGTAAGAATAAAGTGACTCTAACATAAAATTTATTATGTGACATAAGTCTCTCAAAATGTCTTTCAGAATGTTTAAATATATGCTTCCTCACTAGCTTAAAAAATAGTTTTGTGGGTTTCTTTAAATGTTATTTTTGAGTTATTGTGTGCTGTTCTGACATACTTATAGGGTTGAAGTGCATTTTAATTTAATCTTGGAGGGCTCGAAATTAAATAAAGCTTGAGTAGTCTGCAGCATATTGAACAAACACTAAATATAGTCCATTTATCAGATTTTCAGGATAAGTAGCTATTGTAACTGAGTGGGACTAAAAAAACCTTTGTTTTTCATTCTTGACTATTGGATTTCATTGGTGCATACTTGACAAATGGTGTTCTATTTAGAGATATTAGTAACTTCTGTCTAAATTTTGAATATAATTGAGGTATTTAATTGAGAATTTCAAAATAATTGAGGTATTGAATGTAACTGAGTATTTCAAAAATAGATGCTTACATATTACATTTGAGTGAAGGGACAGTATAGGTAATATAATGTGATATGACTTGAAAGAAAATTGAAATAATTTAACTTTATAATGTCAGCCTACTGAAATGACCAATGTCTCTTTATATTTACTTACTGAGCAGCTAACACTTTGTTTTATTTTAAAGAAAGTGAATCAGTATCTGTTTAAGGGAATAATAAGGCCTATATGAACCATTTCCAAATATCTGGATTTATCTGAAAATCAGACAGACAGTTTCCTGCCCCCCCGCAGCCATCAGAGGTCAGAAATCTCTAGCTGGCCTCATTTCTTTAAGAAAGTGTAGTGGTAATCTTTCCATCATATTATCCCTAAAACATCCTCTGTTCTTCCTGATGGCTCCTGGCCAGCCGATGTCATTTGCTTCCCTGGCTATTAGTGCGTAAATGGGGAACGCGCTCTCTTAGTTGCATGCTCATCTCCAGACTGCCGTTGTACAAGTGGGGGGTGCTGTCCTTTATTTGCATTTTCTCTTGTCGTGTAACACTTTCCTCGTAGTTCTCATTCATGATTCTCAGGTGTTTCCGTTAGGAAACTTTTTATACTATCCTCCTGTGTAACAGCATTTATAGTGATGATAAATCCGAAGTCACAGAGGTCTCTGGTTCCCTGCTTGGGGAATTTTTATTGTTGTAGAATCAGGGTTTTTTTGCAATCAGTGCAGAAGTCCATTGTTTTTTGAATCCTCGATAAGACTGATACCTACCTGAGATACTGTGCAACTATTGTCTTTTAGATAGTAATGCGTGATATTCTGGGGCTCCTGCAGGAGTAAATGTAACTATAGTATGCTGTCAGTAGTTCAGAGGTGTGCTGGTTTTTTACAGACTATTTAAGAGTTGTCTTTGAACCCAAACAATGCACAGGGTCCCTTGTGTTAGATACAATACAGACAGTTAGCAAAAGGGAGTTCCTGCCCATTAGATTTGCATGGTATCAAGTAAGCGGTCTATGAATTAGAGATATTCTTGATAGTTGGACAACGGCTGCAGAACGACTAGCATATGTATAGCATGCCCTGTCATAAATTGCTTTATGTATTAATGTAGCAGATACAGGGACTTTACTTCCCCATCCGTTGAAATTCTGCTCCCTCCGGAAGGGTACTTAGAGGATGGTACGCATACTTTACTTAATTCTGTAGTAATTACAACTATCACTAAAGTAAAATAGCATTTCTAGTGTAAAATAATGGCATTACCTCTGATTTACAGTTCCTCACACTCATCTGCCAGACTCTGACTTCTTTAAGTTGCAAGTTAAGTCACTATTTCCAAATCACTTTGGAAATCACTATGACACATATGAAAAGGAAAATGCTCTTCTAGATAACCATCATCATCTACATTTACAGAAGTCTGAACAAATATTTTATAAGAACTAATTTTTGTGATTAATCTTCTAAGAGTGAGAAGGGATTTCAGCCTCTCTGATTCACTTAGGTCTTATGCTCCTTTCTGAGCTATACACTGAGCTGAATTACCTTAATGTGAAATTCTGCGTAATCTGTCAAAAGTTGTTCTGTAGCATTTCTGCCTGCTGTTGAGTAGCTTCATTTTACTGGTTAAGGTTTTGTGCATGTAACCGGTTAAATTTTGTAAGCAAAAGTTAGTGTGAGATGGCTTTTTATTGAAAGCAGAACAAGTAATTAATTTGCTTATAACAAAAGAAAATCTGAAGCATTTTAAAGGCAGGAACAAGGCGTTGAGATAAAGATAAAAGTGTCTTGCTGCTAATGAGATTTGTGCTTTAAAATATGGGTATTTTCTTCTTTTTTTTTTTCTCAGCTCTTTCCTGGCCGTCAGCCTGTGGTAAAGTTGTTAGAGACCTTGCAAGAATGGCTGGTGAGCCTTCCATTAGACAAAATCCCTTATGATGCTATCCTAGATCTGGTCAACAACAAAATGCGGGTAAGCTGTTACTAGTATCCAGCATAAAATACAGCATTAGTAAAGGATAAGATTCTATATAAATCTAAGACATCGCTTACTGATGGTCCCTCGGTCATAATGGAGTTATAAGAAGGTTAAAATGAAAATAAAGTGAAATCATTACCAGAAAAAAAATCCACATGAAGGAATTGAAATGAGAGAATTGAAATACACAATCCTGTCTCAGTTTTATAATGAGTAGGCAGTCGCTAACGTATACATATTCCCTCATGTCAACTTCAAATTATGCAAGATTCCCAGTGGATATTTTTTAGTTGCCTTTGCTTGCTATGCCTGCTATCAGCAGGACTCTCTTGAAGGTCAGAGTTTAAGGGATGGGAAGTTTACCCACTGAAATGGGCATTATTCCTGAAGCGTTTCCCCAAATACTCTTGAATTTCCTGGCACAGTAAAGGCCTTGCTGGGAATCCCATCCCACTGTGGTAATGCAAAGCCCTGTGGTAGGGTCATCTTTGTACAGAAGTTAATGTGAGTCTTTCTTCCCATGAAATGGGATTGCTATCTGGAATTTGGAAACCTCCTGTGTGTTTTAGGAAGCAGAGAGAGAAGTCTCAGAAACTAAAATCTTGCACTGGATTTTAGGTATAATGAATAAGTAGTGGTTTTGTTTTAAGAAGAAATAATACTGAATTCTACATCTTAGCCTGTTAAGACTTTACCACTGTAAGTCATGTAGATCTTGCTGAGTAATACGGAATTTTTAACATGCCCAGGGAAACTGTAGCTCTTAGTTTACAGTAGTATTTCTGTGTGTGTGTGTTGTGTTTATACTGTGCTTAAAAAAAACTTTACAAGTTAAGCTACTTAATGTATTCTGTCAGACTGATTAGACATTTGTGATGTGCATTTTAGTAGGTTTGACATCAGTAACTGTACATTGTGTGTCATGTAATATGTTTGCAAGAGGGATGAGTTTTATAATGGTGCATCAGAGTATCTCCGGCTTAAGGATTGTTCTAAGTTTAAAATTTGTTTGCCTTAAGCGTGAATTCATTGGTAACAAGTGCAGAGAGGGTCATTTACTATTTGTTATCCTTGGATCACCTCAATTTCAAGGTAGGATCAACTGTGGCTGCTGTTGTGTTCAGTAGTGAATTTAGGTCTCAGAGCTGTGTGTATCTTAAATACTTTTTTTTTCTCTCCCCCCCCAGATTTCTGGGATATTTCTCACTAAGAAAGTTCAGTGGGTCGGATGTCAGGGCAGCAGACCAGAGCTGAGAGGTTACACCTGTTCCCTTTGGAAGCTGTTTCATATCCTAACTGTTCAAGCTGCACTGCGACCAAAAGCTTTGATAAGTACAGGTAAGCAGCAGTTATGCGAGACACTTAAAGGAGGAGACAAATACCTGCAGCAGTTCTGCTATGCAATAGAAAAAGTAACAGATTAGAGCAATTTTTTTTGTGTGTAAATACTCAACTAATTGGTGGAGGACGGTGGCTTTCGAGGCTTAGCTTTCAGGTTTGTACCAGCAGGGGTCAGAGCATAGCTTTACTGCAGCGGGAAGGCTTTGAAAGAAAGCCTGTCGATTTGTCCTTGCTTAGAAATGTGGTAAATAAAGTATGCGGCCCTAAAGATGTGAGCAATAAAGCAGAAAAAGGAGAGAATTTCAAACAAAGAAATTGTGAACTACCTGAAAAGGGATGAAGATTGTTCAGGTTACCTGAGGTTGCACTGCTAATTTAATTTGAGAAGAATGAGATTTAACCATACAGTTCAGTAGCTATAAAAGGTGTACAACCATTAGCCAATCCTTCTGTAATGTTATTTCTTAAATACTGAATGTTATGACTGTTTGGGGTTTTTTTCAGCTGAATGTACCTAGTGTCCATTAATCTGTGCAGTGATGTACTACTTTGCAAGCACTCTGTAAAATTGCTTATTTTTAGACTTGCAGCATCTTGTGAAGCAGAGTGTTAATATTCTGGTGATGATTCCTATTTAAGAAACGTGCTGGAGACATAATCTGTTTTCCTCACAGAATGGAAATAGAATTACTGATGCTAAAATACTGGCCTTTGTATGTTTTTATTCTTGCCAGGACAGCGCTTTGTTTGGTTATAGTTCCATTTAGTTTTCATTTAAACCTTTTAAATGTCTTTTCCAAGGAATATAAGAATGCTAGATGGAACGTTAGATCATAAAACTCAGAAATTTGCAATTTGTCAGTTGCTGATTATATGTTAAAAAAAAATATTATTTTATTATTTCTAATTATGGATACATACATTTGTCCAGCATTACTTGCAATCGCGGTGAAAATCTCTCAATTCTTAATATTGAATCTCCTGCAGAATAGGGGTTTTTTTGGATAGCTGATCATCCTGTTGTTGATTTCTGTTTCTCTCTTTGTTTTGTTTTGCCTTGTTTTGTTTGTTACTCACGGGACAGTAGGTCGAATCCCTTTAATTTAGTACTGTGCTCTGCCTGGTGAGTTTGGGGTTTTTTGTACTGGAGGAGCTCTTCAACAGGATCATGCATAAGTTAAATTTCCTTTTTTGTCCCAATTGCCAAAAGTGTTCTAATTAAAAGTAAAAATGTTCTTAATATTTAACTGTACAAAATGGCATCTAAAATTGCTCTCATGTTTCAAGCATGAGCTGTAGTCAGTCTGAAGTTAAAAATACATTGTAGAACCTGAAAACTCTTTGGCACACTTAACCATCAATTTAAATTGGGACAGATATGTGATGATCACTTCTTATGGTGAAAGAATTGGGTCAGTCTGAGACTGTCGGATTATGTCTTGGGAGGTTTTCCTCTCCTTATTGCTTGTTTAAATCCCATCTACTAAAAAGCATGATGTACTCCCTAATCCTTCCCACCACAGGTAGGGTTTTATGGTTCTTGTCCACTTTAAAGATTAGGGTTACCCTGAATTGCAGTAGTTTGGGAGGAAAGAGAAAAGGAGGATTACACGATGATACATGGCAGATGTTAATAGAAGATTCATCTCTGGGCTGATAAAAGAAAAACAAACAAAATGAGCCATTTTGCAATTGTTTGTTTTCTTTTTAAAGCAGCTGTATTTTTCTTGATAGTTTCCTCTACTTGCAGAGTCTGGCAGTCAGTGTGAACTTGCTATGGCTTTCTTGATATAATGTTTTTATTGGTTTATATTTGACACGTTTTAATGTTGAACAGTGTAATTTGAACCTGCGGTGGGATCAGCGTAAGGGAATCCAAAGGAACTCTGAACAGAACTGCTCACATCCAAGGATGTATAAAATTATTGTAGAAATCTAGTCCTGAGCACGCTTAAATATATAAAATGTGTTTTTAGGTAATAGGAGCTATTGGTGTGAATAAGACAGGCTTGTGGATTTTATAAAAAAAAATTATCTGGATTCTTTTTAGTCTGTTGCTGAATTTGAAAGATCTTCCCACAAAATGAATTTTCAAGAGCGTAACTTTACACAGGAGAACAGATATAATTGAATTTGTGTACGAAACTGTTCCTCCATAAGGACATGATTTGCTAGTAGTTACTTTTGTTGTGTGTGGTGTTGTTCTTTTCTAAATATATATTTTAGTATACATGGTAAAACTGTTTTGGCTGAAATTTGTTTCAACTTTCCAGAATTATTTTTCAGCCTTTCTTTTAATACTGTAATTTAATCTGCTTTAATCTCATAGCTTTTATTTATACATGCCTATTCAATCACAGATATTGAATGTCTGAGTAGAGATTGTTTGCTTTTTATGATTTCTTTTTGGCTTTAAAGACGTTTTTTTGCTGCCGTGTTTAAGAACAGAGTGTTGTTGTTCTAAATAAAGGTGTTTATGACAGTCTTCATGCATTTCTTATATACATAACAGGTAAGTACTCATAGTTTTGAACAGGTTTTGTTGAGGATTTTTTTCTTCCCAAAAACAATGCATGTACGGAGGGCATATGTGCTACCAAACTGTTTGTTATTCACTACCAGAATAGGACGGTGAGCAAAGCACCATAACCCTTTTTACAGAACCTACAAAACCTGCATTGTAAATTAGTCGTGGTAGAGGTGTTCAACTGCGGGAGTCGGTAATTTGATCAATCTGCATCATAAAACGTGTTTTGTTTGACAAGTGTATGTTCGTGGTAACATATAGTACATTTGTAAATACATTCTGGCATAATTTACTAGGTCAATTAAGCATGAATCAGAAGATCTGTGAGACAGAGATGAAACCATTAGGATTTCAACGAATTATGTCAGGTTTTCAAGCCACTTACAGATGTAGGGACTACCTGCTGTCACAATAAAGGCCCAGGACAAAGTTCTTAATCTGTAAAGACCTTAGTTTACTTCTGAATAAAATAATGATTCTTTTGCATTATCTTTAGTGTGAAAGTGTAAACGTTACAGAAAGAATAATGTGTTTGTATTTATTCTAGGAGGAATTCCTGGGTTACTCTTGAAAGTTCAAATGTTGCTAAGTAGCTATTACGTGTATGCATTCAGTGCCTGCCAAAAAAGCTGTGGAATTAATAACTGTAATGAGATTCTGGTATTCTGTAACACCTCAGAGTTATGGAGTCACAAACAGGTATCACAGGCGCCTTGTGAAATACTTAATCAGAGGGTTTTTGACTCTTGGTTTTTCAGTAGCAAGGTCACCATAACTTTAGTGCCTGAGCATAAATGTAATGGTGAATGCATAACATAAATATTCATTTAGTGATTGGGCAAGATATAGGAGAAAGTCTCTACTTCTAGAAGAATTTCGTGAAGTATAGACAGCGTGGACTTTCCATGTTTTAACAATCTCAAAATTTATTCTGATAATGGGCTGCTGAAAAAAAAATTTAATGTCTGATTTTCATTCAGTTCCCCCCTCAAATTGTAGGATAGTCTTTGAAAGGAGAAATTTCGCTGTGAAGAACACTTGACCTTTAACTCTTATTTTAATGTGTTGTTCAGGGTAACTTTGAACACAGTTGTATAGACTAAATGTGTTATATGTATTGGTATAAATAGCTACTTTGCATTTTTAATAACACTATCGCTCACGTAGCATTTTTTGAACCTTCGTGTGTTTGAAGTAATTCCCTTGTACTTGTGTCTGATATCCAAGACAACCTTTCAAAACAGCATGTTTTGAAACATACTGTTTGAGATCACTTGAAACTCTTCATTATTTATTGCCAAATAATTTGGTTTCTAAATGTCTCACCTCAACTCCTTAGTGACAATGTTATAGATGTATTTTGTTGGGGAGGGGTGTTTCTTCTAAAAACTGTGTGAAGCTTTTAATCCCTCTAGTATCTTTGTGACTTACTGAGGTACAGGTTCTGTATGATGGCACATGCGCTATGGATATCTTTAAATTATGAAAGTGGCTAGTTTCTTATCTCTGAAGTGGAGGTGTAAATTTGCATGGAACAAGAAGGTAGCAACATTTCCTTTTCTTTTCTCACGGTTCACTTTTATGTACGTTAAAGTGCCTATGTTGGAGCTACGTTTGTCCAGATGGTGCTAAATACATCTATCATCTGTCTTCCTAGGTCTTGAAGACAATCCCCAAACAGTACTTCAGATCATGCGGAGATACATTCACCACTTTTTTGGATGCAGGGCTTGTGCTCAGCATTTTGAAGAAATGGCTAAAGAGTCCATGGATTCCGTTAAAACCTTAGACGCGGCTGTTCTCTGGCTCTGGGAGAAACACAACGTAGTGAATAACAGGCTCGCAGGTACGGAAGACCTTGCTTAGGAAAACCCACCAAAGGTAGCTGTGTCTGAAAGACAAGGCTATGGCATTTTATACAATGTGGTTTGTATTTGAACAGAGATATGCAAATTAGGCTCCGTAACGAATTTAGAAACAACAGTAACGGTTGTTCCAGCTTGACATTCCTTTATCAAATACTGACTTCAAAAGACAAACTCCACATTTACGTTGGTGTACAAGGGGTGCTTGTGTATAGAGCAAAACCTAGAGCATCCCAATCAACTGTAACTCTCAAGACCCAACACACTAACCTTTGCGTGAGTGAGAAATGCACACTCGAGATGCGCTGTCCTCCAGGAACAGCTATCTGTTATGATATATAATGAAAAAACATCATCATTTTCAAAGGTACTGCTTGTTCTGAGATTTCACCTGTTGCTTGATGAGAGGATCTTTCTGCAGTACAAATCAAAGCCTTTTCAAAAAGGAGCAATACAGTTCAGCTACTTATCAGTGGATAAAAAATAATTAAATTTCTTTCTGTAACAGTTTAAATAGATGTTAAAACCTGTCTTCATTCTGTTCTGGAGAGATGCTGTATAGAAAATGATGATAATTGAATGGGAGACTTTCTCAGGATAAAAGAGCCTAAACTATTAGCAGATCAGCAACTGAATAAAATAAAATTACTGTATGAAGAAAATCTGTTCCCCCGCTAGATTGCTGTTTTCAGTTAGACTAAAAGTACCGTTAAAATACTGGTTGTATTTAATCCGTTCTGTTATGGGGATATCAAGTAACTAAAGCACTAAAGAAAATTGGTTTCTCTTTCCACTTAATCCCTGTCTGCTGTTACGGATCTGTGTAATGTAGCATTAGTTACAATTTAAATATGCTATACTGTGTTTATATTATGGTTATGCTGAATTCCCAGGATTTATGAAGTATTAAATACTGTTGTGAGCATAAACAGTTTGTCTCCTTTCTCCAAGGAGAAAAAAGTAAATGATGAGGTATTAAATAAAAACATCCCCTAATGTTTGTTACTGTTGCCAGGTTGCACACAGGAAAAAAAGTCGTCTTGTTAACTTGAAGTTGCTAAGTAGTGGAGCAATATACTTATTTAGAACATTAAGTTATTGGAAAAACTCGCATGGATATTGATTTAGATGATGCAACAGCCGGCTAAAATGCCCTTTGAGTAAGAAGTATAAACATACTGGAATAAATAATAATATTAAATTATGCTTTTTAAGTTTACTAAAATTTCTCTTTGGGACAGTGACTTATTTTAATTCCTAAAAGCTGCATCTGTATTTCTGGTAATATATACAGCTTTCAGTGAGAAATAATGTTTGACTGGTCAATGAAAACACCTTGGCACAGCCTTCAAGTGTGGTCATGAGATTGTTGTATATGGCTTTGCCCTATTTAATTCTTCCCTGTTGCTTCAGAATGTACAGAATTTATAGCGTTCTTCTTTTTGGCAGGAAAACATGAAGTACGGCAGGGTTTTTTTTTGTAATCTTACCATAAGATGTTTTGTTTCTACTTTCTCTACTGAAACAAATTGATTACCGAGTGATCTTTATTTAAAGATATCTGAAATGCAAACTTGCTCTCTTACTTCTAAATATCAAGGAGACAAATATTTTTAAGCATTCTTTGAATCCCTAAACAATATTTTGCTCAAAATCATGGGGAAGTTTCCTGCCTTTAAAAAGGATAAAAATAATAACAAAATAAGAATCTGTATTTATTTCTGAAATATTTTAAGCATTAGTGTGCTAATAACAATCAGATAAATAAATTACCTTTTTTACCAGGTAGAGATTTTTGTTCTAAAAATTATCTCCATCCACATTTTAAAATGTTTTTTTTTTTTTAGAGCAAAGTGCAACACTAACTGCAGCGTTCAGCTCTTTGCCATCAAGGCAGAAAGGTGGCCAGAGCTATGAGCAACTGAAATGTTAAAATTGGATCTAGTTCAAGACAGCGTTATATGTTTAAATGCTAAAAAGCAAGCTGAGAAATACATCTTAAATATGATAATGGTTTTTAAAGTGCTGAAAATAGTTTGCTACAGTAATAATGCAAGCTATGAAAAAGCAAGCTTGGGATGGAATGGTTCACGATATAGAAACATGAAAATACCTGCAAGTCTTTGGCCTTGAAACTGCTTGCTGCAAACCAAGCTTCAGGATTAAAGAGTATTGAGTGCAAAAGAGCAGTTTGTTTTGAACCATAATTCAACTTTTAACCCCTGAAAGCCCCAGATGGTGGTGTTTTCATGCCTCCTAAAACCATAGCAGTTGTAGTATCTCATTCTAGTAGAATTTGAACACTACAGCTTTTACTGAGACAAAAGGAAAATAATTATGATTGAGTGTTTGTATTTTGAAGGCAGATGCAATACTTCGGAACATAATGGATGCATCCATAAGGAGACTTTTGAATTTCCAAATTTATTCATGATCGTCTTCAGTTTAATACAAACATTATTGTGCTGTGGGCTTTTTTTGCCAACCTCGCTACTTATAAGTGGAAAATACTCTCTGTGAAGTGTCTGATGGTTCAGCTTTCCTAGTTCATTCACTTCTGGTTTTTTTTTTTTCTCCTCCCAATTAGGCGATTTGACTGAAGATCCAAAATTTCCCAAAGTTCAGTGGCCACCTCCAGACATTTGTCCTGCATGTCATGAAGAAATTAAAGGATTACACAGCTGGAATGAAGCCCAAGTTCTACAGTTCATGACGGATCACTATAACAGTGAAAATATTCTATATAAATACGCTGAAAGCCAGACTGACTCCAGTGAAACTGAGCAGGGAGATACGAGGGAGGTGAAAGACAAAAGCCTACTGAAGAAACCAAGTGGAAACAGAGAAAATAAGATCCAGGATAAAGAAAATATACTAGATTCAGAATCTAAGGTGTTAGATAAGCTAGTAGCGAATCATGGACCTGTCAAAGATAGCGGTAAAAGCGCAGTTGGTTCAGCTAACCTTAAACAGACGAAGCAGGCCGTGTCTTTCTTGGGGATTGGATTTTCAAACATAGACATGAGTCTGTGTGTCATACTGTATGTCGCTTCATCCTTATTTTTAATGATAATGTACTTTTTTTTCCGAATGAGATCTAAACGGTGGAAAGTGAAGTATTATCGGTCATCTGTATAGAAGTTACAATGAAAACTTTGTTTCCGATTTAATGTGGCTGTTCAGTACCAGATACAGCTTTAATATTTATGATCAGGGATTTTATATACAGTATTCCTTGTCTAAAACCCCTTTCTTCCCAGGTCATTTCACAAGTGTTCTTGCTTAATATACGGAGCTCGCAGTAAGAACTCTAATCTTTAACTGAGGCACATAGTGCTATCATAAAATGTCCACTGAAGTAAGCATTGCATTTTTTCAGTTAAGATTTTTCCGTGACTTACCACCTACATCCTTTACTCATTTTCAGAGTAAACATTACATTATGCAATCAACTGTGCCTGGGTTTAGAAGGAAATTGGATATTGTTTTGTGTACTTCAAGGCAGGTTTTTTTTTAATTTATCCAGAGCTGATTTTACCTACCAGAGTCCTGAACAGTTATGCTGTTACCTTGGCCGCTTCATTTGGAGAACCAAGAATTCTGATTTTTTTTCAGGAAACGAGTTCTATTCTGATTAAATCGATTCTAAACCTATGTGACTTTCTTAAATATTATTTACGCGGCATATTTGAAGTAGAAAGCATTAAGTGTTCAAATAAGTCTTCCATTCTCCCGTGCGTTCCAGCCAAGGATGTGTATGTCCCTGCTAGGATGAGAGTTTTGGGGCAGTTTGTATCTCAATAAGCAGCCTGATTCTGATTGCTAATGCTGTCATCTGTTGTAATGGAGTTTAGATGTAAGCAAGGACAGACTCAGACCCGGTGCTCTACTCGCTCCTCTATTGGATGTGTTGGTGGAGCATTAGATAACTCGCCTCACTCATTTATGAACCAGAAAAGTAGCTGAGTAATTACTGTGTTATCCAGATGGAAGCCAATTCTGATGAACTCCAGTAAAGGGAAACAGTGTTTTTAGTGAAGGACAGTGGGATTTGCATCAGCGTGCCAGAACACATTTACAGACCTGGAAATACTAAGTTTCTTACGATGTTGGGTAACTCTGTTACAATATAATAATTTTTCTTCTTGTAAGGTGGGGTAAACACTTTCCTTGGTATTTCCAGTTCTGAGCTCGCAGAGAGTATCACCTGCTAGCTGTAAAGTCGTCTGTACAGGACTTAAAAGAACAGCCCGTTTCCCTTGCCCTTCTGCTGGAGTGCTCCTCCGTTTGGGTCCCCAAGGGTTTCACTAACGATTAAGTCCGAGAGCTGCTCCGTTCTGGGATGTGGCAGCGACTGGGAATATGGCAGTTGCCTTTGCAGGTCTGTCTGGGGTCCTGGCTGGCAGCAATTAAAGAAACCATGAAAACAGTTATAAAATTACCATTCGGAATAGGAGTTCCTTTCTGATCCTAGCTGTGGGGGATAATTCACGTCCTGGATAGTGAAGTTTATAATCCTATCCAATGTAATTGAGCATGTTCTAGTTATCCATTACCTAATCTTTAGTTAATCCTAATAGGTTTTGGCCTCAATGTTTTCTTGTGGCGGTGAGTTCTACAGATTAATTATGTTATATAAAAAGGCTTTTCCTTTCAATTCTACATTTGCAACTTTTAATTTAATTGAATGTTCGCTAGCTCTTCTGTTACGCGAGAAGGAATGAATAGTCCCTGCCAATTCATTGTATTTATACTGTTAGTGTGTCCTCCTCTTATTTCCATCATAAGCCCTAGCATAAAAAGTTTAAAGCCTAGCAACAAGAATGGTCTAAAAGCACAAAAACTCAACAGGGGTATTTTTTTCCGCAATCAAATCTTGTTTGTTCACAAAACCAAACATTTCTGACACGAGTTTCTGCAGCTTCCAGTTGGAATAACAAAATTAAGCTTCAAAGATTTACTGTCCCTTGTTCCTTAAGTTTATCAAAATAACATACACATAAAGTAATAACCTTCTGTGGCTATTGTAAACATCTGTCAGAGGAAAAAATCTCCATTCACATGACGCTGCTAGTCTGAAGTACATGAAGAGGCGCATTACCTGGGGTTTTCTCAGGCCATCTTCACCGTTTATTGTCTGCAGCCGATGGCTCTTGCTCCAACGTGAGAAACTTGACGCCGTGCTCTCTCCGTGAAGCTGGAGGCCAGCTCCTGCCTCCTGCCACACACCGCCTCCCCGGAGCCGAGAGCCGCTGGGAGCACCTGCGGACAACTGCTTCTGCCCGTGGGCTAACATGAAAACTTCTCTCTCTCATTTTGACGCTAAGTCTGCGACACTGAGTCAGTCTGTGCTTTTTAAGGACCCTCGCTGTTCAGGAGTGCTGGCACAAGGAGCCATCGCGGGTCTCTCTTTTCTTTAGGAACTTGTAAGAGTCCCTATAATTATAGTACCTGGGCTTGAATATTAAAACAACTCGTAAGTAACTAGAAAGATAGTGAACCAGCAGCGGAAGGTGGCCCAGGCTGGCTCGTCGGTGCCGCTTGCTTTGTGCCGGAATCCAGCGAGAGGTCCCAGGAGGAGGTTAGTTAAGAGGAAAGCCCAGGGTTTCCAAATTTAGTTTTGAAAATCAGGCAACTTTTAAGTGACCTAATCTGGGGAGATGCGGATATCAGCCGAGAAGCAAGGACGTTTAGCTTCTCAAAAAACCCACCCAGACACCAAAAAACCAAAACGGCAGCACAGCAAGTATTGGATCTGGAAGATGTGACCAGTTTCTGTGGGACTATTGAATTTCCTGCTGTCGGTATTGTCGCACATTTCGAAGTTGAAAATCGGTCATTACTGCTGCTGTTTAGAACTCTACCGAATATATACACCTGAGTTTGTTACCTTTGACTCATTCTGCTTATTTTCATCTGCATATGAAAACAAAAGGCTGTGAAGGTTTGTAGGGATGATTTTGCCATTAAAACAGCAGCAAATGTGGGTTTGGAATAAGGGGGTTTTTTTTGCTACGCACCGTTAGCTGCCATGTCGCTGTGACCCTGCTGGAAACATGACGAAATGAACCGCCACTCAAACTTCCACTGGGTGTTTGGTTTTGTTTCTTAAGAGTGTAAAAGCATGAAATTGGGATGTTGGTTATCCGTGTTGATGCTCTAACTCTGTTGCCAGCTCACTGGCTAAGGCTTTCGCTTTAATTGCTAGTCGTGAACTCATCCGGAAAAGTTTTATTGACTTTGAATTCGGTTGTGTAAACCTTGGTTTACTTGTTCTTATTTTCTGTCTTTATAATGCCAAATTATATCCTTGTATGTGCTCTGTGAAGATACCTTATGTCTGCTGGGGAGTGTGTGACGCTGCTTTGCCGTGGTGCGTTGTCGGTGGGTGAGTTACAAGAAAGAGTTTCCTTCTTAAAAATTGCCTCAAGCCACCATCCCCTCAGCCCTGGAGGTTTCATTTGTGTTTTGTGTTGTACCACGGAAGTTTCCGCAGTGCCACTTTCACTTGTGGACTGGTGGCAGTCATTAGCGAGAAGGATTTCTTGACCCTCTGTAATTCCTGGAGCCTTCTTTGCTCTTCAGATCTTTTTAACGAGGAAATATTAAACCTGCGTAGAAAATAAAAGGAGTACTGCGGAATGTGCCAGGAGAGAGAGAAAAGCTGCAAGCGCTAAAGAAACCTAATGAAGTTATTCCTGAGAACTCTTAGTTTTTAATTGCCGGCAGCGTATCCATCCTGCTGTTCCTGCTCAGAACTGGATGGGAACTGCCATCTTAAACTAAAGGTCCAAGGCGTATTGTCTAGGTCTGTGCATTGCATACGAGGTGTTGAAAATAGTGAATATACCATTTCAGTAATTTAAATGTTTTATTTATTTTATTTCAGTAACTTGGCATTTTCAAGTCTATTCTGTTTTGGTTGGTTTGGTTTTTTACTCAGTCTCATCCCTCTCTAGGAAGGAAAAGTGGCCGTTTTGTACTAAATTGTAAACTAATGTGCTTGTTTAAAATAAATTGCAAACGTTTGGGCAGAGTGGTGCGTTTTGGCTTTTTACTTGTATTTTCAAGTTCTTTTCAGCTAAACTGTATTGCAAGGATAGCTTGTACACGTGTCCATTTCAAACCGTATGGGTCACTTCGAAAAGTACCAGGAACAGGTAAACTTTTACTCCGTTTCTTTCACTGTTACCCTGCAACTTTACAAAATGGCAGTGAATGTTTGCAGGAGTGGTGGAAAAATTGTCCGTTTCTGACCAATTATTTGCACATTACACACACACACACACACACAGATCTTCCTTTCCCTTAAACCTGAACATCTCCTCTTCGGCCAGGATGGTGCTAACCTCCACCGGGGGCTTCTGAATCTTTCTGCAGCTTCTGCTGGCATCGGCAGCGCCACTGAGGGGGTGGGATGGGCGACTTGTTAAAAATACTGATTTCTCTACCTGCAGAAGTACTCCAAGACATTTTTAGAAATCAGTAAGATTTCTAAACCTGTAGATAAGCTTCTCTGAAGTTCGGCGCTGCAACCCACGTCTCCGGGGAAATGTGCATTTCCTTACTGGCCTGTGACCCTGCCTGGAAAACAGCGATGTTCCCCTGGGGAACCGAATGTCCGGGCTCATCGCCTCAAAGTCCCGAGGGCAGACGCAGACGTTGTCCCTGCTGGGGCAGGGTTGGGAGCGCCCTGTCCTCACCACCCGAAGTTAATACGTCTGCTGCCTCGTTTTAAAGAGGTGCTAAGGGTTGTCCTGGGAACTCGCTGCGTGCTCTGATGCTCTGTTGTCAGGGTGGGGGGGACGAGGGCTGTCGTACACAAACTGGCACAAGTTCCTTGGAAGGAAGGACAGTGGAGCCTTTGGGTCTGTCCACGGAAGGGAACGGGGAGAGGAGTATGTTTAAGCCCAGACTCCTCAGGGGCTGCTAAGTGATCTTCTGAACCCAGGGAAGAGGGAGAAAAACAGGAATAAATACATGAAATATGGGGGGGGGGGGGGGGGGGGGGGTAATGGTGGCAGAATCACAATGAGGAAGACTACGGGCAGGGTCTGATGCCTGCTACAACCCGAGCAGGAGGGCACAAGAGCGAGCGTAGTGCAGAGATCTATCTCAAGGGGCTTTTGTGGAAACCTGCCGAGATGGTGCCACAGTGTGAGCGACTCGTGGGGCTGAAAACATGAGGCTGCGCAGGGCTGGCGCGTGCCGTTGGTGGTCCTGAGCGGGACATCGGCCACTGCCCTCTGCCCTGCACAGCCGCAGCTGCCACGACGCTGCCCCGTGCCACGTGCGCTGGGGAACAGCCACCACCACACACACACACACACACGCTTTCTTAAACTGCTTCCTTAGAGGATCAGACTAAAAATCCACTTATAAAACTGAGCTTAAAAGAGTCCATGTGGGTCATTCTGCCCCCCCCCCAGAAGCTGTTCATGGCCCTGGGGAGTGTCGAGGAGCCCCAGTGCAGCCAGTGCTGGCGGGACCCCGCA